CTTCCTTCCTTCCTTCCTTCCTTCCTTCCTTCCTTCCTTCCTTCCTTCCTTCCTTTCTTTCTTTCTTTCTTTCTCCCTTCCCCCTACTCTTTCTTTCTTGTCCAGGGGCTTGAACTTGGGGCCTGGCCACTCTCACTGAACCCTTTTTGCTAAAGGCTATCACTCTATCATTTTCAGCCTCAGTGCCACTTCCAGTTTTTTGGTGATTATTTGGAGATAGGAGTCTCACAGACTTTTCTGCCTGGGCTGGCTTTGAACCACAATCCTTAGATCTCCGCATCCTGAGTAGCTAGAATTACAGGTGTGAGCTACCAGCCCCTGGCTCCTGTATCTTTCTTTTGACAGTAACACTTGCTCTTTATTTTCATGTCATCTAGACACTAAGCTAGACCAAAACAAACAAAATTAACATGCAAGCAAAAATTATCTTATATATGTATCTCCCTCTTATCCACCAACGTCTGTCTCCCTTGTTTACCTGTTTTTGTTTTTTGGGGTCTTTTGTTTGTTTTGGTTTGGTTTTTTGGTTTTTTCCAAACAATTCTACTTCCCTCCCTACCTTTTCTAGCTCCTTCTTTTCCCTCCAGTTCCTTTCCTTTCCCTTGAGGTGAATAGAAAGTAACTGATGATTTAGCTGTCCACCCACTTATCTATGTCCTGAAATTCTTTACTAGATTCATTTCTATGCATCTCTCAGTGGAATGAGCCACGGCCCTCTCCATTGGCGGCATATGGTATTGGGCGATCTCCGTGGGCTGTTTATTCTCTAAGCCAGACTTGGTGGGATGCGACGTTGGATTGGAAGAAGGGAGAGTTTCACGTCCCACACCCAGTTATGCTTCTGCTAGCTGTGGAGCCCTCACTGGGCCCTTTGGGATCTTCCTGTGAAATTGAGAAATCGACCTTCATGACTCCCAAGACCCCTTCTAGGTCTAATGATGTGTGTGCCTGAGCGTCTAGACCATCAGACCAGTTCGGCAGCTGGAAGGTAGCAGGACAAGTCCCTCTGACATCACCCCACATGCCTTCCCATCTACAGGTGGGAAAGCCAGTGTTGCCCAGGCAGGCATTAAGAATATAGAACTTGGAGTCAGCCCACATAGGCTTGAATCCCACTTCATGGCTGTGTGCTACAGGCGGAGGTTACTTCACCCCTCTGTGCCTCAGTTTCCTCACGTGTAAAGTGAGAAAGGACAATACATCATCTACCTTGTAAGATTCAGTGTGCTACTACGTAAGCAGGCGTTAGAACAGTGCCTGGTACACAGGCAGAGTTCTGTTAGTGAGTTCTGTTATGGAGAGTGAGTCCTACTCGATCCAATTCAGGAAAATCCACCTTTGCTCCAGCTCGGCGCCGCACAGAGTCTTATTTGCTGGCGATCACTAGGAGACCCTCCAATCTGGAAGCCGTGTCCTCTGGAAAACGTGCTCATGGCCGGGGTGGGGGCAGAAGGGTGAGCCCCTCCAATCGGTGAGGCTCGGCGGAGGGCCCTCACAGGGAGCAAGGAGCCTTACCTTGATTTCTGAAGCCCCGATTCCGCCTATCTTGACCTCCTGGTCGGCCACCAGGATCCGAAGCCCTCGGAGCCAGGCGGGCCCTGCATCCGGCTTCTTCTTGTTGATGTCAATTTCCAGGTAGTCGGGGCGGTCGGGGCAGGTCTTCAGGAGGGTGTAGGAGAACTCGGAGGGGAAGGCGTAGGCTGCGCCATCGAAGGTGCGCAGCACCTGGTTCTGGCCCAGCAGGCACACGGTCTCACGCTCGGGGAAGCAGCCCTGGTAGCCGTCTTCCACCGCGCACACCTCCCCGTGGCGGCAGGTCTTGTTGAAGCAGTAGACGTCTCCGCCCTCCTCGCACAGGCACTGCACCGTGCAGTTGGCCGTGGCCCAGAAGAACTCCCCCATGGTGTAGTAGTGGCCGTCGAAGTCGCAGCCGCACTTGTGCAGGGGGACACACTGGCTGGTGCTGAGGACGAAGCCCTCGTTGCACTCGCAGCCCTCCGTGCAAGGCGTGGCACAGTTCTGAGAGGCTGTGAGGTCGGAGCAGGTGTCGGGGCAGCTGCTGGTGCACACGGAGTAGTGGCTGAAGCTTGGGCATCTCACGGTGGACACTGATGGAGGGGGGTTAGGGGTGTGGGTAGAGGAAAAGAGGGGGATCACAGGTGAGTGCCCCCCGCCCTGGGGCTCACCTCCAACATCCAACCTGCCAAGGGCCCAGAGAAGGCCTGGTCCTTCCAGCCATTGAGGTGGTAGAATGAAGGCCAGATGGCCACGCACTGGGGTGGGATATGAGAGACCCGGCTCCGTGACTTTTCTAGTGACTACAGAGCCACACAGTCGGATTGTGAGATTTTTTTTTCCTGGAGTTTGATCATCTCCATGGAAACTTCCAGTGTGTTTTCCTTGCTTGACTAGATCACTCCTCGACCTGGAGCTCCATCTGGTGATCTACAGCCATCCGGATGTTTTTAGATCTTCCAGGGAGGGGTGTGATGAGCCAACCCAACTTTAAAGGGCATGGCTCATTCTTAGAAGGCAATGAACCCCACTTCCTGGAGGAATCAGCACTGTCACTCTTAGAGGCGTAACTTGACAGCATGAAAATTTGAGCAGGGAGGTGTTTAAAATACACGAGCATGACTAAAGCAGGCCGTGGGAACGAATTCTAGGGGCTATTAAAAGTGAGAAAGAACCCCCGCTATCTGAAAAGATCATGAGCTGGTCCCTCCAGGAGACTGCATGGATGCTAGCAGCCTTCTGAAAGCCCTGTGTGCCTTAGAAATCTCTTATTCTTATTTTAAGAGCTTCCACGTATTCATAAATGTTTGAATTCAGATGAATCCAGGAGACAGGGGCACGCGGGCCTAGGGAAGCAGCTCTCTGAGCTAAATATAATTCATCTCACTAAAGTGAGAGACAGGGCGAAGACAGAAGTGCCAGGGAAGAGCAGTACCACTAGGGGAAAACATATAGACGTTATAGATAATAATCTAGGCAATTTTGATGCTCTTGGATTATATATGGATCAAAAAGAAGTTGTGTTCAATCTCAAAACTTGAAGTGTGATATGGTTGCTCTGGGAGTGATGGGGGCTGGTCAGTCATACTACAAGAAAAATACACTGACATTTAGTGGTTTGACCCATACTCTAAGATTTGTACCAGACATATGAAGTATTTATATAACTCCAACCTATACTTAGAGGGGGTAAAAAAAAAATCACCCTCTGGCTTTGGAATTTAAAGCGACTTTAAAATCTCCTCAGCTTTAGAGCTTCTGAAAGGCATGGAATATAACTTCTATTTACTCACATGGAAAAAAAAAAAAACAAAAAAAGATGTCCAGAAAGGAAACAAATTATTATTTGTTGTCGTTGTCTCTGAATTTTATAAGTAGGCAAACAACGAGAGTTTAGCTGGGCTAGAAGGAAAACAAGGGAGATAACTGAATGGTCAAACAACGCTTTGTGCCAGAATGGAATTGGAAAGAACCTGGGTTTTCTCACAACTTGGGACTTCACCTAACTGCTCTTGGTATTTCAGGAAAATGGCTTCTTCATTGGTAGATTGTATTCCCGACCTGCTGCCCTTTCATTCACCAGCCTCACCCACAGAAGGGCTCGGGGACAAGGGGCGCAAACTCTAAAGGCACCAGAAGTAGAAAGGAAGGGCCAGAGCACACTGGCACTGGCTCCCCTGGGGGTGGGGCGGGCCCCGGCTGCCTTCTCAAGGCTGACTGTGGTTCCCCAGCCAAGTCTACACTCCCTCGGTGCCAGTCACCCCTGCCACCCCACCACTTGGCTCAGCTCTGGGCCTGCCACCTTTGCTACAGGCCTTCCTCCAGCCTGTCATGCATTCCAAGTTTCCAGAGCATTTCTGTTCGTCCATGGCTTCTTGTTTCTTGCCTACAGTACTGGGCGTGGGGACGTAAAGGTGTTTTCATAGTCCGTTCCTTATGACCGGTGGTAGTTCAACCTCACCCCTGCCCTTGGGCCTCGGTGGGCCTCAGAGGGGCCCTGAACCCCACCCCTGTCCCCTGTGGCTTACCACACCCAGTCTGGGTCCGCCAGTCTCCAATTGGGATACCCAGGGCTTGGCACACCAGGGCGTAGGCCTGGATGGCTTGACAGAGGAGCGTCCCGTTGTCCCTCACGCTGCACAGGTCATACACGCAGCTGTGCACGAAGGCGGTGGGGTCCACGACGGTGCCGCACTCCCACAGGGGGCCTTCCGTCTTGTTGAGGAAGCCGCAGTAGTCAGGGCCGAAGTACAGCGCTTCCGTGGTGGCATCGCACTGAGTACAGTTGTCCACGCAGCCGGAGCCGCACTTCCAGTCGGCGTGGTAGACGCGCCAGCTCTCCCCTAGGTCCAGCACGGACATGGCTGGCCTGCCGTCGGGCCGGAGGAAGTCATCCAGTGGGTTCTTGTTGTAGTTCCCACAGAGCCCACAAGTGGAGTTTATGTAAGAGCCCGGGATGGAAATGGACGCGTAGTGCTGACCATCGAACGTCACCAAGAGCCCAAAGTCCGTTTCCACGGCTGTAGACATGCCACTCTGGTAGATTTTCACTGTCCCCAAGTCTAAGGTGACGGGCAAAGAAGTCACCAGGTCATTCACCTGCCAACAGTAATAGCAAAAGGCCGGTGAGCAGGCGCCGGGGCAGTGAGTTCCAGTAGAAGGAGGGGGGGAAGGCTGAGCACCACCGTATTCCAGAATATTCCATATCCACTCGCGGCTCCCTCCAGCATGCTCACTCCCACTATGACAAAGGTCTGGGGGGACATTTGAGAGAGCAGGCGGTCGTGGGCCAGCCTGTGAAAGCCGTGTCATTTCTAGCAATGCTACAGAGCCCCCCGGAGTCTGGGAAGTTGGCATCCATTCTTGGCTGTCTCTAGGCTAACAGTCAGGCTTCACTGGAAAGACTCATCCCCCTCACTTTTCCTCTTTATTCTTCTAAGAATTAAGTCCCCATCGGGTCTCGGCACAGATTTTCCATGGCCCTCCTGACTGCCGTTCATGCTCGGTGACCCTCCTCCCAGCTGAAATGTGAATCTGCCATCAGTTGTCCACACCCTGGCACCATTCTCCAAGTCTCACTAAGGACTTCCTGCTAGCAGAACAATGTCTTTCAATGGCAACCAAGCTGAGCACCCCTTAGCTACCAAGCATCATGTAGGAGCTGGAATACACAGGGTTAAGAGATAACGATTGCCTGGCCCCTCAAGAGGTTCCAGGCATCCTGAAGAAGAGGAACACAAACAGATATTTATAGATGACAGTTTTAAATATGAATCAATACAAGCAGTGGGGAGACAGTAAATGAACACTTAATTCAGCCTAGGGGACTCATAGGAGGATTTTTAGAGGCAGTTAAGTCTGACCCGAGTTTTAAGGATGAACAGAAGTATCTGAGAGAATGGGGAGGGGGGCAAGCAGAGGATCCCAGGACCAGAAAATCAAGGTCGGGGGTTAGAGGCAGCCATGAGAGACCAGCAGGCAGCCGTGGAACACTCTGGGCTACAGAAAGATCAGGTGGCCAGAGATGGAGCTGGAGACTCTGGCCTGCAAATACCTTTCAGGCCTGCCTGGGATCAAGCATGTTCTAAAAGTTTGGGATTAGCAATGAGTGAAATAGACAAAAAATCTGCTTTGTGGGACCTATGTTTTAGCTAGGGAGACTGACAACCAGCAGAATAAAATATTGAATTGTATCAGATAAGTGCCACGCAGAGAAGTCAAGGAGGAACTGTGGATGGCCCTAGGGAAGAGAGTTTCTAATGATCAGGCCAAACCTCCATGGGGAGGGGGCAACTGAGATGAAAACCACCATTACTTGGGGGTGAGGAGGGAACTACAGGCTGCTCCCTGCGGTCTTCCTGCGCTCCTGCTGGAGGGCAGGGTCTGTCCAAGGCAGGAGCAGAGAGGGCAGCTGATGCCAGAGAGGACCACAGCCAGAACAAGGAGGGCCTGTCAGCCTCCCCAAAGACCTTGACTTGACCTAGAGCAGGACACAGAACCAAGAAGGTGTTCAGCACAAAGGGCGGACATGATCTGACTTCCACGTCAAAAGAACTGCTCTGGCTCCCATGTTGAGAACAGACCTTGGAAAGCCTTTTACACCACAACACACACACAGACCTGGAAGTCTACTGTGCAGGGAGAGCTTCTGGGTGCAAAGGAAGGATACAGCTACCTTTGCATTTGAGAAGGTCCTTCCTGACCCACAGGAAGGGCAGACTTACTGCACCAAGCAACTGTTGGCAGAGTGTGGCATCATGGGCACGCATGGGGAGGGAAGGACACACACAGGTACCCTGCTTAAAGGGGGTGCTGGTCTCTGGGGTGGGGTGAGAACCGGGAAATGAAGCAAAGTGAGTCTTAGCAGCTAGATAAGGTGAACAGGTGGCTTGAGAAGCCTGCAGCAGAGGAAGCTGGTTTTCTTCTTCCCGTTTGCCAAGGCTTGTTCCTGCAGATGCTGGCAGTCATGTCTGTAATGAAATGCCTTGTTCCAGAACAGTCCTCGGAGGGCTAAGCACGCATCAACCCTCCAGACTATCCTGGATCCCATTACTGGCACACCAGGAAGATAAGGGTCTAACCTGCCACTGAGTTACCCTGGAAACAAGACAACAGACTGTCTAGACACTACTCTCAGCATTCACCATGGCCAATATCACAGGTCGCTCTCAGAGATGCGTTGGCCTTCAACACAATCTCTCTTGTTGGTTCACTCGTGGCCATGTGGGCCTTTGCTAGTTTGTACGTCCAGACCCTTCCATTTTCCACCCATCGATCAGTGCAAAGCCACCGCTGCATTTTGACATACTTGTTATAACATCGCCCACCCCCCAGTACTGGTCTTCTGTCTCAGGCTGGGAGGCAACAACAAAATACCACAACAACGATGGCTCAGAAATCACAGGAATGTATTTCTCCTAAGAAGAAAGGAGTTCTAAGAAAGGAGTGCAAATAGATTCAGTGACCTTCTAATTCTGAGATGACACCTTCTCATTGGGTCCTCATGGGCCCCCTGTGACATTGTAAGGGCACTAATGCCATTCCTGCGGGCTCGAGCCTCATAGCCTAATTGTCTTCTGAAAGTCCCATCTCCTCACACTGCCATCTTGGGAATTGAAGATGCTATCGCGTAGATAGGGAGGGACATAAATATTCAGAGTCTGGCAGTGGGGGAAGGAAATAAGAAATTAGTCTGGAAAAGAAACTCTCCTATAAAGAACTACTAAGGAGTTGCTGGGTAGTGGATCCAGGTCTCCTAGGCAGAGTTAGCCAGCAAGAGTGAGGAAGAACCATCGGCAAGGTCAGCTGGCCAGAGGCCTGTGCAGCTGGCAGCCATTGTGCTGTGCTGGGAGACAGAAAGGGAAATCGTTTTCAAGGGTCATGTGGGATGCCAACCACATACATTTCGAATGCTTCCCGCTCAAGCTCCCACTAGCAAAGGGCAAAGTCTTCTGCATTTCAAAGCAGAAAGCCATGGCATAGACAGGATCTGGACATCGCAGTGATCGCTCCTGGCTTCCTCTCTCTACCTCATCTCAAGCCTAGATATAGGTAATGTTTCAGGTCATGTCCTTTTTCCTGGCAGATGTGCTTACGATGCCCTATGTATTCTCATCACAAATGACTGTGGGCTCTACACAGCTGGGGAAAGAACTCTGATTCCAACATGTGATCGTTTGTTTCTTTCCTCCAGGACCAAGAGTCAGCCTTGATGAGCTGGTGGTAGACCAACATCACTTTGTGGCTTTCCCTTCTCCTCCCTGTGTATTAGGCATTTTCCTTCTTCAACAGTGTGTCTCCTATGACATGGTGGGGAGAGGAGGTAGATGAGGATCACATGCCAGGTGCTGGTGGCTTTCACTTGTAATCCTGGTTACTCAGGAGGCTGAGATCTGAGGATCACAGTTTGAAGCCAGCCCAGCCAGAAAAGTCCATGAGACTCTGTCTGTTGGCAATAAACTACTCAAAAAAAACCAGAAGTGGTGTCGTGGCTCAAGTGGTAGCCTTGAGCAAAAGAAGCTCAAGGACTTGGGCCAGGCTATGAGTTCAAGCCTCAGGACTAGCACACTCACAGAAAAAAGAAGAGGAATCTCAGAGCTTAGGTCTTGGAACTGAACAGGATTTTGGTGAGTGATAGCAACGTGGAGCCAGCATCTACCGAGAGCCTCCTGTGTCCTGGGGTGTGCACAGATGTGCACACGAGGCTCCTCTATTTCATGCTCACGGCTACCTTTTAGTCCTATCATGCTCCCTTTTACAAAGGAAATGGAGGCTCATGGCTAATGTGACACACAGGTGACAGGACCTGACTACCGCTGGCTGGGCTCCAAAGCTGTGTCCTCACCCTGGGCTACAGCCCAGATGTCCAGTCTAGGAGATACAACAGCCCCCCATTTTACAGATGAAGAGCTGAAACTCAAAGAGGTCATTCAGTTGTAGTGGTAGCAGGGACATGAGTAGGTTCCCCCAGCCACGGAGACCCAACTCTTCATGATGATGGGGTCTGGGCTCCCTTCCTGTGGGAACACCCTAAACTATTTGTTCTCATAGAGGAGAGAAAGAAGAAAACCTGGAACTATTAGCTAGAAGGAGACATTAATTGGATATGGATTTTTTTTTAGTTATGTTGGTTTTCTTTGGGCCCTGTTGGCATATGCGATCCCAAATTGTTTGTTTTGTTATTAGAGGAATTTGTTTTGCTAACAGAGAAAAATGTCCATAGGCAGAACGCACCTCATCACCCAGCATCTGAAGACAGGGATAGAAAAGGAGGACCTCTAGTTTGGAAGCAAAGATGTCTGGCCAGTCTCAGCCAGGCACAATTGGCGGATGGAGTCAGGTACCTCCCGGGCATCTCAGGCTCCTTCCTGCCTCCCGGCTCTCCCCCTGACTGTCCTCAAGTCACCCTGGGTCAAGGCTCTGCCATGCAGCCAGCCACTCTCCCCAGCAGAGCAGGTGTATTCAAAGACACTGGACACCGTTTGGCAGAGGGAAAAGGAAGCCATTGTTAGCTTGCAGTTGGAGTCACATAACCTTTTCTTTCTGAAACATTTATATTCACGTCCACATCTCCCTGCTGCTACAGAAAATTGAGGAATCCATGCCCTAAGCCTGGGCGATGGAACAGAGCCACGCAAAATTAGCAGAGCCACTGGGCCTGAAAGAAACGACAGTGCTCCTTTCTTTCTTAAAAAAAAAAGTCGGACTGTGAGCAAAAAAGAATTTTAATCAAAATGAAAAGTAAGAGGAATGAAAATGCAAGCATGGAGTTTTCATTTTCAACTGTATATCATTCTCACAATACAAAAAAGTAGGGGAAAGCTACTGAAAAAAAATTTTTAAGCTTGAAATGCTAGCATCTATCTACCAGGATCAGGACAGCAGCTGAAGAACACAATATAAATTTAAAATGGAAAAACTCCAAACTTCTGTACTCAAATTCTTAGCCTTGACTGGGTAGATAAAGCTGTTTCCAGGGACACTAACCAAGTAACAAGCAAATTGGTATTTCAACCAAAGTAATAGCTCACTTTCCTAATTTATAAAACCGTTATACTGTACAGACCTAGAAAGGACAAAAGCTAGAAGAGTGAGTCAAAAAACAAACTTTTGACAACTTTGGTGGGAGTGGGGGGGAGGGGAGGAACGGGAAGGGGAAACAAAGGAGGAGGCAACAATGCTTGATAAGAAATGTACTCATTACCTTGCCCATGTAATTGTAACCCCTCTGTACAGTATTTTACAATTTAAAAAAAAAATAAGTTCCTTGGTCCCAACTTTTGTTACAGGGCATTCAGAAAGAAAAGAAATTCCTGCACTGACATCAGTTTAGCCTTGCGATCTCATGGAGGACTAAGGATGGCACAGGATTGCCACAAGGGCTGAAGCAATCAACCCTTTGTGTCTAGGTCACTCTTGCTCGGATAAATCCACGGCTGCTACACGGTCTTCTTTAACATTTTGAACACTGGGCCTCCACTAAGTGAGTAACCACTTGCTACTGGCTTCTTGTCCTCCCTCTTTGGTGAACGCTTCATTTTGAAATCCCAGTAGACAGCATTTGCATATGTTAAACAAATCCAGGTATTATTTGCATGTGCTAAACAGCCAAACAGAAGCCCACATTCTTCTCTGTCCGTCTAGGTAGGAGCAGGGCATCCCAGTTCAGAGGCTGTTTTAGTAAAGCTTTTCCTAGATCTTCCCATACAACCTCACTAAGGAAGTCTTTAAGCCATTCCAGGCAGCTGCCTGGGTGGCTTCAATCAATGTGGAGATTTCTCTGTAGAGAAATCTACAGAATAGCTCTTGGGCAAACAGGATAGAGGCTGGGAGGAGTAAGGATTACTAACCAAAGGCTCAAGTTAATTAGGGGTTTGCCCTTTGTACTTACACCAGAGTCAGGGTATGGTCATGTGACTACAGCCCATTGCAAGCCAGGTTTATGGGAGATGAAATAGAATTCTCCTGTTACTTCTGAGCTGTGTGCGCACGTATGTGCTCATGTACAGGCACACACATGTATCTATCAGGGAAAGAACTAGGAATGCAAATTTAGTTTAAATTGAAAAGTGGAGAGACACCAGACACTGGTGGCTCATGCCGGTAATCCTGGCTATTCAGGATGAGGAGATCTGAAGATCACGGTTCAAAGCTAGCCCAGGCAGGAAAGTCCATGAGACCCTTATCTCCAATAAACTACTCAGAACAAGTCAAAGTGGCCCAGTGGCTCAAGTAGTAGAGCGCTAGCCTTGAGCAAAAAGAGGCTCAGGGACAGCGCCAGACCCTAAGTTCAAGCCCCAGGACCAGCAAAAAAAAAAAAAAGAAAGAAAGAAAGAAAGAAACATGGATAGGCATATTTAGGAGAAAGCTTAGCAGAGTTCTTTTACAAATGCTATTTGGTTTAGTAAAGCATCTTACAAGATCCTTGCATGTCAGAAAGAGAATAAACAAACCTCGTCTTTGGTACTTAGAGAGAGATAAGCAGAAGATCTAGGAGGTGGGGGGATCACTTTCCCAGGCGGCAGACTCTCTAACAGGTCTACAGCCCTGTGAGGGGCAGAGAGGTTCTCACCTTGACTCTTCCGTAGCTTCCTTTGGGGATGAGAATCTTGTAGCCATTCACCTCAATGGCGAGCTCCTTTACCCAGGAGACGGCAGAGCCCCCTCTGTGCTCATTCTTGGCCTCCACACTGAAGAAGGGGAGGCTGGAAGCCTGCAAGCACTGTCGGGCCAACAGGTAGGCACAGGAACCTTGGAAGTGGAAGAGGAAGCCGTCAAAAGTGTGGTAGTGCGGCTCGCCGAACACCACGCATGTGCTGGTCTCCACGGGGCTGCAGTAGAAGAATTTGCCTTTGGGTTCACACAACTCATAGGGGCTGCAGGAGGCCTCCTGGCAGTAGATCTCATTGTTGAAATCCAGACAGCGACACTTGATGGTGCAGTTGAGGTCATCCCAAAACACCTCGCCTCGCCGGAGGAACTGTCCTAGGAACAATGACATCAGAGCCAACATGTATCGAGCACTTACCCTCTGTGTCAGGCACTGGGCTAAATGCTTCACTTCCATTCCACCACATCATCTATGGAAGAACCTACTAGGGGGAACTGTCACCCCCATTTGACAAATGGCAGCTTAAGAGCCATTGAGTAAAACCCATCCAAGACCACTCCCTGGGGAAGTCAAGATTTCAAGTTGAGAGTCTGGATTGAGCACAGGCTCTTGGCATTACCAATTCCACAGCTGGTGAGCAAACCCACACACACTGACTTCATCTGTGGGGAAAGACTATAATACTTGAGAGCTACTTCCTTCTGCTCAGGAATAGGAAGAAGAATAGTTGAAAGAATGACCTCATGGTACCCAGGTAACTCAGCCATGCTGTTTGCTTATCTGCTAATTTGTTCATTCAATCAATAGACATTTATTTGTTGGGTGCCCAGTATATGTCCTAAGATGTAAATAACATCAACCAAGTATCTGACATATAGATATAAATCCTGACTTCATGGAAAGATTTTGGAAGCAAATGGCCTCTTGTTTGGCACTTTCAAAGGTTCATAAATCCTGAAGATGCTGCTTAGGCAGAACTTACACCCACAGTAGGTTGTTTTCCCCCAGCTCTAGGGCCTGGCCAAGTCTAGTACTTCCCTCTTTTGATCCACTAGACAGAACTTCAGATGAATTCCAGCTCAAGAAGCTAATGAGGTTGGGGATGGGGGTGATGGCTTCAAAAAGGTGCTATATAAAAAAAATTATTTGTAAGATCACTTCCCTAAATTACCTTTGGGTTGGGGGTTATGGTCTAGGCTTTGGTTGGAGTTCAAGTCAAGAGTCCAGCAAGAGTCACAACTCTGTAGTCACTTCCAAGATGCATGATTTGGTTTCCATGTGCCTCAGTTTTCCTAAGCTGTACACCTGCCTCACAGGGGACACTGATGTGATGGAAGAGCTGACACAGGTTGATAGAGGCAGCAGAATTCATTAAATTAAGGAAGTCTGGTTGAGATGGGACAGACTATGCGATATTAAGATATGTAAGGGCTGGCACACACCAGGAAAAAATGGCTTGTAAGTGCTCAATTAAGATTGCTCAAGTTTCTAAAAAAAGTAAATCTCTCGCACTTGCTGAGCATCACAAGTTCTAGGCCAGCTTGGAATAACCTAGAAGACCCCATTTCAAAAAAACAAACATCAAACAAGTAAAATCCCCCCCCCCCGCCCCACGCCTTGCAGATCGCACAGGGTTACAACATCCACCTGAGCAGAAGACAGGAGTGTCTCTATCTGTTTCACAGGAACATGTTTCATCAGGCAATTATGTTTTATACCTGTTGAGAATTGTATCCAAAATGAGATAATAGGTTTATTCACATTCCCAGCAGGTCATATGCATCAGCCCTTGGAACAGGCCCTCAATCTGCTACTGCCTTTGGCACTAGTTCAAGGGTACATAGATTGTAACAGCCGCTGTCTAGTACCATTTCCATTCGCTGCATTTTCCAGGCTTCCAATAAATGGGAGGAAAAGGCCTTTGAATAGAGGAGGTTTGGACCAAAAGGCAGACTCTCAGTGATAGCTGTGTTTGTGAAATGATATAGTAAGCAGCTGTATGGAATCACATTCTTTGCTACAACCCTGGCCAAAGCTCAGTCTCATTAGATTGATATACATCTAGTGGCACATAAAAATGCATGGCAGTCTGTTTAAGGACATTGCATTTTCCTGTATATAAAAACCAAACCTACGTAGCTCAGGAGGAAAAGAATGGAGGTGAAGTGGGGATTGTGTACACAGCTGGCACCTGACCAACTCCATAGCTCTCCAAGCCAGTGCGTTCCATGCTCTGAACCTTTCATTCCCAGGGCTGGGGTGAGAGGTTGGCACTGAGCACTAGGCACTTAGGCTGCAGGTCCTTGGCCAGTGGGCCCTCCAATGTTTGGATAAAATGGAAGAGGGGCTTGGGTGCCAGTGTGCAATTTCTCACACACTAGTCCAAGTCGGAGAGGGGGTAGGATAGAAAGGCCCTGAGGTAGCACCCCCAGGATTCTACATCATGGAAGAGGGTCCAATCTCAGGAGTCCAGGGGAGCCCTGGGACTAGACGCTTCCTTTTCCAGTTCAGTACCAGCTTAGACTTAAACCATTTATTTGCTACTCTGAACATGAGCAACACCACACATGTCACTGCCACCGGGCAAAGGCACAGTGCAGAGTTAGGGTGTGCGCATGTATTTGGACCATATGAATATGGCATTTCTGATTTGAAGCTGGGTCCAGAGAGAGGGCTGAAATGTTTCTGGGCTGCCAGAACATGCAGGCCCCATGTTTTCTATCCAAGGGAGGAAGACAATGCCTTACCAAAACGCTCTCTGATGTCTGGCAATGTTTTGCCCATTTCCTCTGTGTTTCAACAACATCACCATCATTCCTGCGATGGTCTCTGGCACCTAACAGAGTGACTGGCACCCCCAGGGGGCTCTCACAATATTCTTCGGAAAGATGCAATGGTGACATGACTGGCTTGGTGATGAGAGGGTGTACAGATGGAGGGGCGGATGAATGGGTAGGTGAGTAGGTGGGTGGACTGGGGGATGCTTGGATGGATGACTAGTTAGGTGGGTAAATGGAAAGGTTGATGGACAGATGGAGATGGGGGATGAACTGTGGTTAGGTGAATGAATGAGTGAGTGTGGATGATAGATGGGGTGGGATGGATGGATAGGTGGGGTGGGGTGGGTGGGTAGATGAGGTTGGGTGGACGGGTAGATGGATAGGTAGGTAGGCGGGGATAAATGAGTGAACAATGTCCTGTTTTGAGATGCCATAGCCTTTATACTTGGAATATTTTTAACAGAAATCCTATTTTCTGAATACTTTTGAGCATATTAGAGGCAGAAACCTACACATGGCAATGTTCCTGGGAGAGTCCGGGGGCTCTTTTGCACATCTGAAGGGGTCTTGGCAGTTTCAAGAAGGCTCCACATTTTGAATGTCAGTGTGAAGGAAACCCACTGGGGTGCAACCTCCGCATTTTCACAGGGGCCTAATGCTAGCTTTGATTTTCTCCAAATCCCTTCATGTTTTGCTGCTGCGGGAAGGATTTTAGGAGACATTACCCTAAAGACAGCGCCATTCTTTCTTTCTAATCGTACAAGGAAGTGCTGGCTGACCTACTAGAAACTTGACAGCGCTCCAAGTTTGCCCACCCCGTGGAGCTACCAAATGCAGATGGCGCCACAAGAGTAAAGAGGAGAAGAGACAGCGTGAAGGGGAGATGACAACAACAACAAAATAATGTTAAACAGGAGGGCTCCCTTCTGTCAGTCTCGCTAAGAAATCACTCAATATCCGGGTGCACTTCTGAGTTGTTCAGGACTGGTAGCTGCATCTACACAGCAGGCAGGGGCTCTGAAAAAGTTACACACACACACACACACACACAGAGCGTTTCAGCTCCTGGGGTGATGAATGTGCATGCTAAAATTACCTTGATCCCCATCACCCAGCTGAGAGATGTCAGAAGGGTAAGGCATCAGAAAGGAGTCCGCCCTCCTGGCTGAAAAGCTCGCCTGTCAATCAAAACCAAGCAAACCCCACTTTGCTCTAGAGAAGAGAAGATGCTTTACCCCTGGATGTGCAACCATTGGCAGGGTCAATTTCCTTCCCATCAACTTTAAATGCCCAGCGGCCTGGAACATTGACATTTGTGGTCTCCTGGATATTCACAATCTCAGGGGATCTTGACCCTGGGAGGCTGAAGAAATTGGTGAGGTTTCCGCCATTAAATCCAGCCTAGAATACAAGAGGAAGACAACACTTTTGAGCGAATGCGTCCCTCCTATTGGTTCGCTGACCCAGATACTTTTGAGAATTTAGCACGTGTACAATCAAGAGACCCTTTCCTGAGCTGGCCATATGGCTTGGTGGTGGTGTCAGTCTAGCAGGGTGCCCCTTTCCTGGGTTCCCAGTAACCATCATTCAAAGCATGTCAAGCCCCTCTAATGCACCCCACAGCAGGTCACTGTGGCAGGGATGGAAAAGTCCAGACTCTTAATCCATCTGTGAGATCCATCAGGCCTGGTGGCTATCCTTTAGGATTTCTACTCAAGGTTGGTGCTTTATCACTTCAACCACAGCTCCATTTTCTGCTTTATTTTTGGTGGCTAATTGGAGATAAGAGTCTCCTGGACTTTCTTTCCAAAGATGGCTTTGAATAACGATCCACAGATCTCAGCTTCTTGAGTAGCTAGGATTACAGGCATGAAGCAGCGGTGCCCGGGCAGAGGTGCATGCTTACAGTATATAAAAGCTGTTAGTAGGCCCCACCCAGCCAGGATGCTGAGTTAAATCTGTGGGTGACATGCAAAACACTTTCCTGAGCCATCACCCCCCTGCCCAACACCTTCCAGAGCCAGAACCATCACCCCCCCTGCCCAACACCTACCTGAGCCATCACTCCCCCAAGACCCGTCAGTGGGTCACCGCCACTTGCCGTCCCAGTGGTCCAGTTGATTTCATAGTAATTGAAGAGCGTGAATGTATAGGAGCCATCAGACACCAGGACAGCCTGGAAGGTGTTCACCTACAAGATGGGCAGGATGGTCTCATGACTGGCACAGAGGTCCTGTCCCAAGGGGTGGGTCCCCTTTCCTCTGCCCCCTCCCCCACACCCCAGCAGCTCAGCAACCTAGCCCTCATGCTCTGCCTGCTCCCTGCATTTGTTCTTGCCACCAGTGGGAAAAGCAAGCCGTGTGGGATTATGCATCTAAAAGAGAAATAGCCTGAGATAAACCTGGAGTCTGACTCAGCGCTCGGCTCCTGTCTTGTCAGGAACCAGACAGAAGAGAGGCCCCCCGGCTGGCCATAATAGGAGATCGCCTATAGATGGCAGCATGAGAATAAACTATGGGAAAGAGGCTGTCCGGGCTAGGTGGTTCCCATGGTAGGCTGGGTGGGGAACGGATGAGGAGGGCAAGAGTGAATGATTGCTCCTGGTGGCAAATACAATTCTCCTCTGGAATGGGCTCCCTCCATTCCTGGAACACACTGCTGATCTTGACGAGATGTCTTCCCCTTTTAAAATGGAAGTTGGGAAGTGATTTTTTTAGAGCACTTTGTGGGAAGAAATTGTTCCTCTAATTGAGCATTTATGAATTACTTTCTATCCGTAAAATCCTCAGAGCTCAGCTGTAACTCTGACCAATGCTATCTATATATGGCATGCGATGTTTGAGCCCATTCTCACCCTATTGCTAAGAAAACTGAAGAGTAAGGGAAATGAGTTTCTGGAAGGTTCGTAGTGACCCAGCCACACAAACAGGATTGCAGCCAGAACTTCCCAGTCAATCTCTTAGCACAACCATTCTTATATACTGTCTTAATTTTCAATGATTTAAGGACAAAGATGTTATGTAAATTTGAACACACCTTGCAAATGGTTCTCAGAATTAAGCAGTGTCAAGCTCTACCCTTCATGATTTCCCTTTCCTCATCATCAGTGTTTTCAGGAAATGCACAGGAAACCAGAGCTCAAAGCACAGGCCATGCTGACCCTTCTCCATTCAACCCTCGCCCTTTGCCCAGCCATCTGGTACCATCCCGGGGAACATCTCTGCCAGACACAGAGGAAGGCTGGAGTCCCTATCCTGTGTAATCAACCTGGAGAGGAGGATATTGGAAGCCCCAGCTCTCCCTATTTCAGGCAGCCCCAGGGAGGGGCAGAGTGCAAGCAAAGAAAAGTCCTGTTTGTAAAGGACTTTCTCCTCCCCGCCCCCAACCTCCTGCCTACAGCAACTGATGGCGTTTAGGATAGAGTCACCCAGGTACATGCCTTCATTCTTCAGCCCCATTCAATGAAAGTGGGACACAGAGATGAGCAAGCAATAAACCCAAGATTACTACAAAGCTCAAGAGACCGAGGCAAAGTCAAGATCACACAAGGATTAAAGTTCATCCTCTTTCAGACCAGGGTTCTCCTTCGGAAATGAAGTCCTTCCTCCAAAACAGTACTGGAGGCACCTGTGGTCCAATCAAGTCTTGAGAGCACCCTCTCTCCCACCCTAGAAGTCACAGGAACTCACCAGCCATCCTGATGCCGCCCCGAGGCTGAGTGTATCACACACCCCCACTAGCTCATTATTCCCCTCCAGTCCCTGCCCCAACCCCAGCTTCCTCAACATTTGCTTTAAGATTTTTCTGGATCTGTTTTTGTTTTGTTTTTGTGAAATCTTGTTTTGCAGAATTGTTTTTTTTTGCTTCTGAGGATTTAAACCAGACCTAGAGAGAGTTGAGGATTCAATTAGCAGACTTTAGTGTGGACCCTGTTCTGCCTCCTAGGAGATTTCAAATCCCTTTTCTTGCCATTTTGAAAGCAGAGCTAGTACTTGTTGAGGGAACATTTTTATGGGGATTAAATGATATGTAAAGTAGCCTATTACAGCCAGGCACTAAACTCTTAGTAAATATTGATTTCCCTTTCCACGAAGTAAGTGGGTCCCTGTCCCTTTCTATTAGACTTTCACGATACTTTCTGGACCTAAAAATGATCTCCCAAGCCCAGTGTTCGGTTGGCCTGATGGTGGGAAGGGCATTTCAAAGGAAGGGATACTTCTATTTCTGCAGCTCGCTTTTTCTCCATCAGCTTTTTGTTTTGTTTCGTTTTCCTCAAGGAGCTCAAAGCACTTAGAGCTCATCATTGATGCTCATGGAAAAAAAGATCTCAACTATTTCAGAAATTTCATTCCAAAGTAGAAATCAGAAAAAATATCTAAATTATCTTGCCACTTTTATGGCCAATGGGCTTTTTGGAGAAAAAAAATGTGGTCAGCATTGGACGGGCATTTCTTCTTTACTGCTCCACCCCACCCCCAGACTCTTAAAGTTTATGGATTGCTGGCATCCTGCATTCTAACGTTGTAAGCTATGAGGCTAAAAGAACATAAAACATCACCCGAGGAGTCGTTAGCCATCCATAACGTGACAGAGAGAAACGTATGCTTCTTTAGAGGTGATTTCCAGCCAATGAATCTGCTGTTTAAACTTGTGTCTTTCTGTTCTGCAGGACCGCTTAGCAATAAAGTGCTCTGAGATGCTTTGGCCAGAAAGTGCTAAAACACAATGTGCTCATCGCATCAATGTAGGTACAGATTGCAAGAGCAGCACTTTTTAACCTCTCTCTGACTCGAGTGTTTCTGTTCTACCCTTAAACAACTGACTCATTGCCAAGGAAACTGGAAAACAGATGGAATTAGAACTAATCTTAAGAAAGAAGAGGGTAGAGCCTCTTTGCTTACTGGGGAATTATGCAGTTAAGAGACACGGGTCTGCTACTTCAGCTACTCAAACAAGCTGCAGGCTTTTATGCAAACTCTAGTCTGTCCTCTTATGCAGAAAGTTGATTATCTCTATGATAATGCCAGTGATCATCTTTCTTATTTGACTTTTATTTCACTGCTCATTTGGGATTTCAGAGCAGATGTTGAAACTTTATCCATGAAATGCTTTAACTGCCCACTCTAATTAACATCAAATATGAATAATTTCAGCCCTGGTCACGATTTTTAAAAAATGTTGTAACATAATAAAATGAGCCAGGTTATTTGTACTCAACCCTGGCACACTGCTTTTTCTATTAGATTTTGTGGAGGAGGAAAGGGGGGGAATTACTGATGAAGAGAAACTCACATGCCTCGGGAAAGAAAAAACAACAACAACAAAAAACCTTTAGTTCCTCCCTGGGTCCCTACACACGTGACTTAGAATGAGCTCAGTACCCTAATCACTCTTTTGCAAGTACAATGGTATGTATTACAAGAACATCGTCAAGAGGCTCTTTTTAAGACATTGGTAATGGATTGTGATCAGGGGGACTTATCTGAAATATCTGAACTGTCACCGCTGACTGGACTGGTTCCTCTGATATCTCCCTCTGTGGAAAGTGGGTGGCAAGACCCATCCGTTTAGCTCAAGCAAGCTGACATTCCTCCTTTCTCCCAATTAGATTCCTTCACAGCAGAGAAGATGGACAAGAATTAGACGTCAGGAATAGCAAGTGGAAAGTGGAAATTTTGAATGATTACAGGTGTGGTGCTGCTGCCGCCATAAAATGTGACTTCCTCCCATGTCACAATGAAAACCCAAGTGGCAGAGAAGGTTGGCATGTCTTTGAAGTACTTCCTGATGTCCTTGGTGGCTCTTTTCAAGATGACGGGGTCCATGGTCTCTCTGTAATAGATCTCGCCTCGAATTCCGTTGTGCACGTCTGCCCAAAATGGGGCGATGAAGGCCCTCCCATCCGTCAGGGGAAAGGATTCCGGTGTAAACTGGCTCACCAGCACGTTGAAGGAAACAACGCCGTTGTTATTGACCTACAGAAATGAGAGCGGTTTGGGCATGATGGACCTGAAATCAGGACACGTTCAGAGTCACAAACTAAGACCTGACCTGTGCCTGGTCCCACGGATGAAAACGACCGTCAACTTACTGACTTAGAAAACCCATCGACACCAGCCCCCATTGTAGAAATGAGGAGTCTGTTTACACCCAGACACACGCACTGGCTCCCTTTCGCTTTCAATTTGTAGTCGGCTTTGTTTCTTACTAATAAACCAGTCTCATTTTCACGTTCACTAGCCTATCTCTATTTGCATTTATCAGATGCTACTGGTCGCTGGTGCAATGAAGACATCTTCCAAGTCACAGGTGCAAAAGAGACAGGGAAAACAAACACATGTGGAAAGCAAAGTTCAATTTTCAAAAGCAAGGAGATTGATAGGAGACCTTGATTCCTATTTTATGGGGAAAGAATGGTAGATTTCAGAGATAGATCACATGTTCCTTCACTGAACTCAGGTATCAGAATGAACTCTATCTGCTCCTGATGAGACATTTAAAAGACGTGTGTGTGTGTGTGTGTGCGCGCGCGCGTGTGTGTGTGGGCGTATGTGTGTGTTTGTGTGTGTGTGTGTGTGTGTGTGTACTGGGGCTTGAACTCAGGGCCTGGGATCTAATCTATCTTCAGAGCTCAGCCTCTTGAATAGCCAGGATTATAGGAGTATAAGTATGAATCACTAGCACCTGGCTTTCAGTGATTCCTAGTGATGTCACAGCCACTTCTGTCCTCAGACCAGGACAAGATTAAGTCCCACTGATGCCCTCATTCCATCCTGGCTCTGGTATGTTGGTAGCTTCTTTGCACCAGGGCTGTATAAAGATTGACACATGAGCAGCTTACATTGCATATGTAATGGATCTGCTTATGGTGATTCTTTCCCAGTTTGTAAGTGGCCTAGTGAAATGACAAATCCTTACTGCAAATCACAAGCCAATTTGTTCCCTCCATTCACATAGGAACTGCAAACAATCCTGCAACTGAAAGGCACTGATTGAACCAGGTGGCTCAGAGGGCTTCAGCATCAGACACACCTGTGGTGGGAGTACATGCTACTTTGGGATGGAGAAAACAAATGGCTGTTTTCCTCTCTATGGGTCTATCAGGGCATGAACATCAGCAGTGACCCAAATCCCATAGGCAAGGGCTCTCTACCTGGACCAACGGCACCTCAGAGTGCTTCAGAAGTGAGAGTGTTGGATTTGGAAAGAAAGACAAGGGATCAGAGTGGCAGGAGCCTGCTGTCTTCAAGAAACAGGGAACAACCCAAAGGCCCACAAATGTCATAACTCACAGGGCTGGAAAGGCAGGGAACCACTTCCCCTCAGGTAATCTGCCCCCAACTTACAGTCTGCTCTTTTGCAAGGGCAAGAACGCTTTGGGCTCTGCGTCACAAACTAAGACACGAAATTTGTTAGTGTGGAGAAAGAAGAGGAACGTTAACTATAAATATCTTTGCTCTGGAGGCCCAAGCCTAAGGCTTCCAGAACCAAAGTCCTGTAGTCACCGCCCATCTCCAAAATCAGGTTAACACATTGCAAAACTCACAGTCAGCTTTTACACACAGACCAGGAGGCCCAGGTGAGGACAACATCAAAAGCTTGGGGGTGCTAGGGGAATGTGTTGTTTTAGGGAATAATGGATGCAATTAAAACACACAGGCGCTACCTTCGATGAGTGGGTCTCAAACTTCTGTGAGCGCCAGGCTCACATGAAGGCTCCTCAAAACTGGGTGCTGGGCTTCCCTCCCCCACTCCCTGGGGTGCTGCATCAGCAGGTTTGGGACAGGCCTGGAAAGCAACCTGGCTAAGAGGGTCCACGTGATGCAAGGGCTGGTCTCGCTACTGCTTAGATAGGAAGTACTGGTAAGGCAAGGGAAGAAAGGATGATTTTTGTCACCGGAGCCAGTCCTGAGGTGAATGGGAGGAGGAGGAGAAGGGTGGGAAGGGTTTTCTTTACCTTCTCCAGGGCAAGATGCAGAACCAAACGGAATGTCCCGTGATCTACACACGCCTCCCTCCATCCGTGAAGACCAGAGATAAAGACAGGCTTGGCGGCTCAATACAACAGTCTCACTGGCAGGCCACCAAATCACACACACAGTGAGCTAGAAGGCAGGCTCCTCAAGAACTCTGACAGTAAACGAAGCCCCTTCTTAGCCCCAGCTTAACAATGGCACCCTCTGGCATCGCTACAGACCGAACGACGGTGGGCAGTTCAGCAGACACCCTCCTACCATAGCTGATTATCTCTCCGAGAGCATTCCAGTATGACTTCAAATTGGTAGGCAGGCCAAGAACAGCAGATGTGGAAACGCTTCACAAGCCCCGAAGGGAGAGGGACAAGGCACGGCTCCCGGTGTGGCTCCCTGTATCTTTTTAGCTTGTGGAGTAGCAGAAATAATGTTCATGGCATTGGGGCTGCTTTGCTTCTGTGTTTAATCACCCACAAGAGCAATTTATGGTGCTGTAGACTCCTCTGTTATGAACATTAGCCACTAAATATACCTTTGACTTTCTTAATCATAAAACCTATCAGCTCATGAAATCTCAGAACTTCTCATGGGGGCTGCCAATAAATCCTCCATTCCCAGAGCCCTGGGAAAGGGTATTTAAAATGCTTTCCTTAATGACAAACAAAGGAGAGAGAAGCATGAGGCAGCCCCTGGCTGCTTTGTACTCACATAGACAGTGCGGTAAGGAACGCCAAAGAAGAGAACCGGGATGGCCAGCTTGATCTCAGATGAGCTCCCATCGTCCACTTTAGGTGTTTTGGTGTCATTCTGCCAAAATGGATACATGAGCTCCCTGGGCTGAACTGTCAAGAGAGATGGTTATTAGATACAGGGCACCTGTCTTTTCCATTTGGCAAGCTACTTTCCTCCGCCTGATAAAGCCAGCTTCTTTGAACATGGCTTACAAGCCAAATGCAAGTCAGATGACCTTTCTCCTCATCCTAAACCCAGCTATAACCAGAACAGGATTCTTCTGACTCAGGGAGAAAGGGAAGCAGGGGAGGGAAAGCCCATTTTGCTCCATTCCTGTGTTTGTGCATTTGGGGAGAGTAATGGTGACAGCTGGCTACTAGGTGGTGACATCCAGGCTGTCTGGAGTTCTTGAGCACTGAGTGGCGAGCGAGCCTCTCTGTGTGGCATGCTTGGGGAGGGATTGTGTCTTGACAAGATAGCCAGGCAGAGAGAAGGTGGCAGTGGTCACCTTTAGTTCCCTCCCAGCCCAAGAACTCAACTATGGAAGCTTTTCCTGAGAAGAGACCCTTCTTCCTAGAGCCCAAAGGCTGAAGATACCAGAAGGCAATCAATACCCGGGCAAGAGTGGGAGGAAAGAGTCTGTAACTGGCCCGAGAGTGACTCTGACTGAGCCTAGCCCTGGAGGCTCGCTGCCCAGCTGCTTTTCACGAAAGGCACTCTCTTCCTCAGCCTCTCAGCCCAAGGTGATGTCATCACACACACAGACACAATGTCACTTCCTCCCTGGACATTTGGTCCATTGCAGCTGTGAAATAATCTCTGTTTCAGTAAACGCTTTTCTCTGCCACGATCTTTTTCCTCCCTTGAATGACAATTAACCAACAGGACATCTTCCCCCTTTATAAAAATTTGTTTGGAGATTTTGGTGCAGTGGCAAACCCATCGTGGGCTCTGGGCCACAGCTTTGGAAGAAGTTGGGGGTGCCACGCAGAGGCTGAGGCTCGGTCTCATGTCTGCCCTCTCCTGGGGGAAAGCGCCCGGGTGGCACTGACTGAGCTGATCGGATGAGAGGCACTGTCCCAGGGCTGTCATGCTCCTCTGAGAGCTTTTTAGTGAACAGACAACAGCTCAGGAAAAAGAGCACAGAGTGGCCAGGGAGCAGCCCAGCAGTGTCGGGCAAAGGGCCAGCTCCCTAGCTCTGAAGACAGACGGGAGCAGGAGGGCTGCTAAAACAGAGAGCTCATCTCTTTCTGCCAGCCAACGTCAGCGAGAGTGGAGCAGAGTCTGATCTTAGTCTATTATAAGCCTTGTTTCCCAAGCCCCTGAAATTTCTGAGAAGCCAACCAAATTTTAACCTGCAGGGGGCGCTGTGACCAATTAGATTTCCCCAGGGCCCTGGGCTGTGGGCTGGCTGAGATTGTCCTTACAATCAGTAGTAGAAAAAGCACCTTCCAAGAGTCCTATTTACATAATGGTCACAAGTTCCCAATTCCTAGAAGACAAGAGCTTTTTTTTTTAAAAAAAAAAAAAATCCTTCCAACTCCTACCCTACCTACCATTAAACTCAGCGCTTATTCAGTTGAAGGGTGATAGCTTCTGTGAATTAATAGCAAGAAATGAAGTCATGCTAAGGGCTTTCCTTCATGGGAAGCCTTTTGGGGAGCCACACCCAAGTAAGAACAAGGGTTCAAATTTACATGGAATCGTTATCATTTTTATGGGATGGGTCCTGGAGTTTGGGACAGCACTGATTAATCTGTCTACAGGATGGGAAATTAAAACTCCTCAAGAAGGAGCCTGTCCCTAACTTAATGAGAGGCAACTCCCAGGACCCTGTCTCTGTAAGTGACCCTAGCTGGCAACTGACATGACACAGGAATAGTGGACAGTTTAAAAATTAACCTCAAGAAGAATATAAAAATCAGTACACTTAATATTGTGAGTATTCCATACATATTTGTTGAATTGCAAAGGGTACTTAGCAAAAGGGAGGGGCTTAAACTACTGCGATTTCCATCTCCAAAGCCATTATACATATGGATAGCATGACCTAGCAAGAATGCCAGAATTAATACAAGAAAGATCACCCCTACCATGCTCACGGCAGGCTGGAGAATTCACAGTAAACATAAGTACGCTTCAAGGAGCCTTTTTCATTAAACAACATGCATTTTCTTGGCACAGGCATGGGAGGTATTTTCATGCAACAAATAATGCTATCATTTATATGCTATAACTATTTCATTCTACCCAGGCCTGCATGCACATGGTTTTCAGAGCTGTTCATCGGAGACTTGTAACCATGTGCCAGCTGAACTTACCAAACAAACCCAAAACAGAAAGAAAGAGCCTTTGGAATTTTAATCACTCATCAAAGTGGAAGAGCTATGTTGACCAGCCTTGTCTCAAATCCACAAACAATAGAAGGAAATTTATGTTGCCCCATTCTGGGGGTAACAGAGCAATGTTGTACAGAGAAAAGAATTATGGAAGCGGAGGACTGCCTCATCTTATTCCACTTATAGCATTAGACTTTTTTTGTCTGTGTCATACATTTCCTGACATCCTCATCATCAAGATCAAGGCCATTAAAATTTAGGAAATTTTAGTTAAAAGAAAAAAAATAAGTCTTTGGAATCTTAACACCCATTAAATGGCCTGATGGTAATCAATGACTGGACAATGGGTAATGTGTGTGTGTTACATATATTAATGGAAATAACTTGTATTATTTTAAAGACCTTCTTTGGTAATGTACAAATTATGTTCAAAGTTAAATAAGAAAAAGGACTGGAAGGGAATATCGTTCAGAGTTACTGTATTTTACCCTTGACAAGCGAATTTAATTTGCATTTTCTGTTGTTGTATATGTAGACGCATGTACGCCTGCCCTCACAATTATGATTTCGACAACAGCGTCTCTTTATAAATTCAGGAGCATGCTAATCAAGAGCTTTATGGAATTCAGGAGTACTCACCTTGGTGCTGTACAAGTGCGAAGATGAAAGAGACCCAAATTCTAAGCAATGATGAATAATTCATCCTGGAATTTTAAAAAGAAAAAGAAAAAAAATCCCCAGCTTGCCAGAGTAAACAGAACACCAGGTGTGCTTGGTGGCAAATCCCGAGGCACAGCTGAACCATCCTAGGGCAAATTCACATCATAACATCAGTCATTCTGTGTCGGGTTGGGACTCCCGGACGGGCACAGTTCCTTATTTCAACCCTTTGTGAACAGATTAGAACCCCAAAGAAGCCAGTCTGGAAGTGCAATGAGATTGTGCAAATTGTTGGAAATCAATGAGCAGCAATTGGTAACAAGGGCAGGTAGGTATCTTCTGTGCATCTGAGAGAGTACTGAGGAGCAGCATCCATCCCTGAGATTTCTAAGCCAGAAATCCTGTCCTTTGTGAGATCTGGACTTCCTACTTGTCATACCAGGATTTCTAACAATCAGGGCAAAGAAATGTAGGCTAACACTCCCTGGGGTTCTCTAGGTAAGGGGTTGAGAGCGTCTCATCACTGTTATGTGCTATGGCACCCACCTAGTATTTCACTGGCCAGATTCACAAGCCATCAAAGACTCTGTGATTTAAGAGATCCACTTATGTTTGCCTCACAAAATGAATAACAGCTACCTTGGTAAGGAAAAATAAAGCACACAAAGGTTGTTCATTAGAATTATAATAAAAGTAGCACCCAGTGCACAAGTAAGTGATTAGTTCCAGCGAGTTCATTGGACTTATTTGACTGGCAGTTTACAATCAGTGCAACTGGTGTTTCTTCCCTCTGCTAGGAGCATGGGCGGTCTGCATGACACCACAAAGCTGAGAGGCAAACTCACTCACGAGCCCCACATTCAACATACACCTGCGCAATAAGCACCAAAGTGCATGGCTAACCACAAAGCCTGAGCCCAAGGGCATCCTTAAAAATAAATAAACTTCCTTTTCTCTTTTCTTTTTAAAAATCATTTGAAGTGATCGAAACTCTTCAGCCAAACTTTCACAGGAAAGCAATGCGTTTGTCCTGGGAGCATTTTATTGCAGATTTCCAGTTGTCAAGCACGCACATTGCAATTTCAAGCACATATTCAACAGTAGTCAGTTTTGCTGAAAACTGTGTACAAGGATTTCAGAAGAGATCAAACACGCTAGCAGAGGCAGGTGCCAAACAAACGCAAGAGGAGAGCCCTTAGGGAAGCAATGCAGAGAACAGCACATAAGGTTCACTTAGATATTTGTATTTATGGAGGGGGGAAAAAAACATGTCACTAACCTGTTTTGTAGAGGCTGGAGGAACTGAGTCAGAAATATGAAAGCCAACGCTTAGTAAACCAGGCACAATTAGGTAAAACAAGAATTCATGTTAGTTCTTCCCAACTTGCTGCCAATTATTTCTGATTCCTGAAAGGATGTCTGAATCTTGTACTCGTAAAACTAAAAATTCAGTTAGTCCTGTGCTACAGTCAGGTAAGTGTTGAGTTGCAATCAAGCTTTCTCCCCCCCCCCCTCACCTTCCTATTGATCAAGGAAAAGTAAATCTAAAGATCGGTTTCAGGATTGTGTAGAAAGGTTCTTTTCCTGAAAAACTAGACCTCCCCATCCCCTCCCCCAGCCACCACCTCTTACCAAAAAAAAAAAAAAAAAAGTAGATTCAGATGGAAATGTCAGGTACTTGGAGCTGAAACCTTGGTTCTTTCTGATCAAATCACTTTGCAGAGAAAAACACAAAAGAACCCCCCCTCTTCTCCCTTTGTACCCAAAAGAAGGCAACTGTATAACATTACAGAATTAGCATCCCCAGGCCTGGGATTAAAACTGCAAACAAATCTGCTGCCTCTAACATTTAAATGAAGTTAGTTTTCTACAACCCCCACCCCACTCGCTCTTTTAAATCTGTTCTTGAAAAGGCTGTCCTTTGCTTTCTCCCAGGATTGCATGAGGTATTTCAAGAAATGTTCCTTACCTTTTCTAGGTTTTACTCCTTCTTTCTCTCTGTTACAGTCTCTAGGCCAAGGAACTTTTTAGGTACAAACCAAATTAATAAGGCACCTAAAGTGTGGGCAGAAATTTCCACAAAGAAATCCCAAGCAAGTTGTGGATGCCCCTCCTGATGTCCCAAGAGACTTTCTAGGCTGGGAGGGGCAGTGGATGGGCATGGGGCAGAGGATTTAGAAAGTCCAGTGAACAGAAGAAAACATCCATGTTAGGTTTTGCTCCCAAGCATTTAGTGCCATTGGCTTTGGCATAAACCACGTTACCTAAGATATTTAAGCAAACAGTAACTCAAATGTTACCAGGTCACTCTTTTGTAAACCAAGAGGGGTTTAAAAACTACTCCACATTTTTCCCTGAAAAGATCACAAAAATGAAATGACAATTCTGGTTTCAGGCAGATTGTCTTAAAATGGACAAGAGGGTTGGGGAAACTAAATTTGTAATCTAAATTATTCAATTCCCCTCCCCTCAAAGCCCCCCAGAAACCTGTGATAATTCAGTAGGTTTTGTACAATGAGTTTATTCTTTTGCTAGTAACTTGAGTCCTCTCCATATACCCATTCACAGATGACACATGGCTGCTTCCTTCTGAAAGGAGCAGGTTTGGGTAACAGAATGTAGTTTTGGGGGAGCCTGGTGTAAAGTGAATTAAACTCAAATCCAAGACTCACCTAGAGATGAAATCTCTTTGCTCAATCCCGATTGCGTTGAGTCCCGTAGCAACCTAAATGTATGGGAGCAAAGCAGTTGATTTTATTTGAAAACTGCTAATGGCATAGTAATCGGTAGTTGCATTCATCTTTTTCTCCCGTTTACTCAGAAATATTAATATCCCACCCCCTTTGGCCCATATCAAATTTTTCATCCTTCTTGGGGCCGGACTGCTGCTGGGTCTAAAAGTATACAGGCGTGTATGAGGTGGACAAAGATTTCTGTTAAGATTTAGCCTACAGGAGGGTGGAGTGGAGGTGGGGCTTGGAGTCTGTCACCCAAGAGGGTTGTGTCTTACAAAGATGGTGGTCCTTCTTTCATAGTGTAACACAAAGGGCCACCTGGTTCGGATGCAAATGCCTTCCAAATAGGCTCATGCGCTAAAGCTTTGGTCCTGATGCCAGCTGTGTGCAGAGGCAGAGATTTGGGGATCTGACTAGATCATGAGGGCTCTGACATCAGTGAGTCAGTCCACTGATCAATTCAAAATCTGAGTTGACTACAGGGAGGTGGTGAACTGTAGAAAGGGCGGCTGTTTGGAGGAGGTAGGTCCTTGAGACCACAGCATGTTCTCTGCCTTATACTCTACTTCCTAGCTCCCAAGAGATGAACAGCTCCTGCTGCCACCATGTTGTCCTGGGCTCCAAGTAATGGTTCCAGCTGACTGATGGGCTGAAACCTCAGAATCTCCTTTAAACTCTTTCCTCAGGTGTTTGTCTAACACATCTGAGTATACTGTTCTTGCTCAGGGGCTTCAACTAGCACCATGGAAGGTCTATTGCACAGGTATAGAATTTCAGGTGAAGTAGCTCCTGACTAGGAAATCTGGGTACAGAAGATGGTAGTGAGTCCATGGTATTGGGATCTGCTGGGGAAGTACAGATAGTACAACTCAGATGATGCCAGCTTCCTGAGCATCCATGTGTTTGCTTAAGAAGTGGGCGAAGCATCCCTTTGAAGAGAGTATCCTTGCTCTGATTTGGAAGAAAGTTAAAAACAACAGTGGAGAGGCAGACATAGTACAATCCCTATCCTCCAAAGAACCCCATGCAGTTCCTCTACAAGAGACTTGGGGACAAGAGCCAATTCAGACGAAAGCGTATGACAGACAATAAGCATGGGACTTTAGGGCAAGTAATCCATCACTTTTCATGAGTACTCTGCTGAAACAATGTTCATATATTGCTAACAAGAAATAATGGCTTCTACTGAAGGGGTGGAATCTCACCAAGGAAGCAAGATGGTGGCTCACCAACTGTGTTCTTTGTTGAGTGTAAGTGCCTGAATCTGCAATGGCCTTGATGGGGAGAAGGCCAGGTTGGCTGCACTAACCAGAAATCACATCAAGCCCAAGGCCAGTGCAGTCTTTGACTTTGCAGGAATATTACAAATAGTAAAACTAGGGAGTGGGGGAGAATGTTCATTTTATATAACCTCAGTAGAGACTAGTTTGGCAATATCCACACACAAATCAAAATTACAGGGGCTGGGAAGGTGGCTCAGTGTAGAGCGCTTGCCTTGCATGCATGAGGCCCTGGGTTCTATTCTTCAGCACCACTAAGCAGGAAAAAAAAAGGAAGTGGCACTGTGGCTCAAGTGGTATAGTGCTAGCCTTGAGCTGAAGAGCTGAGGGACAGCGCCCAGGCCCAGAGTTCAGGCCCCACGACGGACACAAATCAAAATTACAGATACTTTGACCTTTTGATCTAGCAATCTCACCTCTAGGAATACATTCCACAGATGTATTCAAACATGCCAGAGAACATACGCTGTTTACTACAGCAAATCAAAAAGTTTTAATTTAAAAAGGAATGAGGAAGAGATGGAAAGGGAAGGAAAAAACTCAAAAAGTAAGCAAATAGGGTATTGGTTAAATGGACTATGGTCCATCTATATACAAGGTAAACATAGTATATACAGAGGGAGGTGACTCTTTGTGTTCTACTAGAGTTCTTTGAGATAGATAACAGGCAAAATAAAAAGCAAGAGGCAAGGTAGTGCTTAATACAGTAACCTTCATGTGTTATGCGGGAACAATTAGAATATAGATTCTTGTCTACTATGAGATTCTTGTCTACTATGATTTGTATGCACACAAGGGATGAATAAAAGATGGAGCACAGCCATAGAATGGAGCTTTTCAATTGTATGTCTTCATTACATCGCTTGACTTTTGGACCATGTACATGTTATCTATTTAAAAATTGAATTTAAATGTTTTCAAGTCTCCTTCTTGTCAGACAATCTGAAATTTAAAACAAAATGTTAACAAGTGAAGCCGTTCATACTGCCCTCATATTTCCTCAGTAAGTACAGCTGACACCTGCCCTGAAATGTGTCTGATGTTTCACTAAACATTTCCCTCTGTAGTCTGCATTTGTTAATGTCTGCCTCTCCTGTTCCTGGTCTTATTTTAACACCTCAGTTGTTACTCAGTGACATGGGAGCCTGTGGTAGACTCAAAAGACTCAAACTGCACCTTAAGTACTTGGGGAAGCTAGATCTTGCAGATGGTAATAGATAACACATTTGCTCCATTTTGCAGTACTTGCATTCTCCACAAGACTCCTTCTTGAATGCTACATCAGTTACAGCCTCATCCTTTCCCACAACAAAACCATAAAGCCTCTAGTAAATAATAAGCTAACTCCTTTCCTTCCTAAAGAAAAACCAAGTTTAAGTTCATGTGGAACAGTGGGCCTCCTTGATACAAGTCTGAGATGAAACGGAACGTCCTCTCTCACCACTGGTTCTGCTGAAACCAAGCTCTAAAAGTGCTGGGTGCATCCCATGCTGGTTCACTCAGTCATGTCAGCAGCACCTACCACCAGCACCCAGTGTGGTACCTGAGACACAGGGGGACGGGAGATGTGCCAAACACATCACCGTTCAAGAATCAGCACAAGGGCATATTCAAGTCTTGGTTTAGATACTCCATTTCAGAGTCAATTTAGTGAACGAATGTTGAACACTGCATTTTAGCATGTTAGCTAAACAAAACCTAACACCGCAGGTGTTGGGGGCCAAGGATGGAGAACTTCAGCAGAGGACACACAAGTATAGATTCAATGTCCAGTGCATGGATAAAGCAAATTACTTGTGTCTGAATCCTGGTCTTGTTGACATCTGCCAATCGTGTGACTTTGCGCAGGTGACTTAATCTGCTTGTCCATCATATCCCCACTAGTGAGAAAATGGGGATGACAATGCTGACCTCGCAGGACTGAGATGACAGACAGAAATTTCTTTTCCTAGGAGATGGAAAGTGTGATTGGAAGGTCAACCTCGTATTGTGTTCAGTCCAGAGGTTATGGGCTATTGAGATACATGGGGCTACTTTGTAAGTGCTCAGAGAAGCTCAAAACAAATATGATTAAATAGAATTCATCACAAAAGTTAAAGTTACCACTCTTTGCAATTTGAATAGGAAGCAGATGTAATCCTAAATTAAAAGTGGTTAGATATTAGGCCTTTTTGAAGCATTAGGGAGCAGTTTATGGGCTGCCTTTGAAATATAGAAATAAAGTATGGCTTGTATCTTCTCAGTAGTAATTTAATTCACAATGGCTAATGAAGAAATTATTCATAAGCAGATAGAGCTCAAACTCTCTAATACTTCTAGAAAATTATTTTCAAAAAGAAAAAAAAGTAGCCCTTGAACAAAAACCGGCTATATTTTTGTTTCACCAAATGAGATTTTCAGTCTTACTGGGGGAAAAGGAGTGCTAAATATGTCAAGGAGAACTAAAACGGAGGGCAGAAGACATGTTAAAAGTATAAAATTTTGCTCACAGAAAAGCAATATCCATCCTTCCAAATCCTTCTCCTGCAACTTTCCCTTCCATCAAGGTCCCAGTCCAGTTCATTCAAATGGCCAGGCACTTCCTGGCGTAGACCACTTCCCCAGAGAACATAACCAGAGAACCAATCGCTGTCTATTTTTAGCTGTATAAACACGTATCTTTGACCCACCACTCCAGGAAAAAAAATCAGAACACAAAGCAAAAATGGACTTGAATTTTTAATTTTTTAAAGATTATCTCTCTGTATATTAATAAAGAGTGCAAAGAATAGACCTTCATGTTTAAATTATACTCTAAATAAAATATATATAGATATATATGTATATATTTCCATTAACTGCAGGAGATAACTGGCAAGAGCCTGAGAGAGTCCAGTCCCTCTCCACCACTACAATGGACATACATTTGAAGGAAGCACCTATGAAGAACAGTAGAGTTCACCACACATCTGGAGACACACAGCACTTCTGGGTGGTCTGGAGAGCAGTTTGCATTTTCAATCCAACATGTAATGAAAAATCACATCCACGAACGGAAACGACACTGCTCAGAATGGCGGATTCTGAATTCAGGTTTTCGGTGCCCATGAAACAGCACTACCCAGATACAAGCCATGCTCATGTGCGTTAGTAACAGCTACCTGTGGGAGGCCTCAGGCGGGCACCACCAGTTTGTGCAAAAAATACCCCCTGTGCCGTCCTCACGGCTAGCGTAGCAGCACGGCTTTTTTCTCCTTTTTAAAATTAACATTCACTGCTGCCCCCCACCCCACCCTGCCAAGTAATAACATTTGGTCTTACTATATATAAGTGGGCTTATGTGTTGTGCTGCATTTTTGTCAAAAATCTTATACAAAACAAAAACAAGGGGAGGCCGCTTTTTTATGTACTTCTGTCAATGGTGGGAAGGACAATTACAACACTTTAACGGCAACAATAGGTTTATGACTCTGGACTTTTTTTCTTTAGAGCAACCTGGGATATTTCAACAATTTTGATTCAAAAGTGATGTAGCTTCAGCAGTTCTGGGGCCAAATGAAAAATCAAAGTGCTCATCCCTTCCTTTCTTATAACAGAGTTATAAGAATAAAATAATATGTTGTACCTGGAACAGCCTATCTGTAATACTGGCCAGGACAGCACTTTGCCTCATAAATGTCAATAATTTGCTCCCACTCAATCTGGAGGAAATTAATATTAAAGTATGGATAAGCCACCGACAACCCATTACACAAGTCTTGGGGACTTGAAGGTCCATCATCTCTTCTTTCCTCCTTCTGGGCCTGTTATAAAAATAGTTTGGTTACAAGCATCTACACAGCACCAATTTAAAAAAAAAAATCTGCATCTTTCTTTAGCCACCCAAGTGAGTCTGTAAGTACACATGCTCAAAAAGCTTTTCTCATTTACTTCTGTTCGGTAACTCTAAAACACCAGTAATTGTATTCATTTTTCTAATAAAAAAAATTTCAGCAATCATTAAAACCATTAGTTACAATGCCTTAAAAATACCCACATCAGCTGACTTAGAGAAGTTCCCTTGACATGCAGCCATATACGAAAAGAAATTATGCCTGCAGTTGATAAACACCGTGCCCTGTAATAAGGGAAGAAACAGTCTCTGATAGTAAAAACGCAGTTCATAAAACTCTTATATAAAATATCTCATTATGACCATTCCACTTGTGACTGAAGTGTAGGTGTTCACTCTTCACTCTGCCTTCTGCTGGGGAAAGCGGGGGGTCCTACAACTCCAAAAAAATAAGAATGCATCCAACTGTCTCCCAGGCTGACAAAAGCACCCGGCTCAGTTACACTGCTCTCTCAAACTCATCTGCACTTAAGCGCACATACACAAAGCACCCACAGTTTTAATCTTTGTGACATTGTTGCTAGACTTCTTTCCCCCTCTATTTCCAAAAATCTGTCAGGAAAATGTGACTACAAAATAATTGTTCTTTTCTCTACCAGGCTGGATCTCCATGGCTCATCTTTATGATTTTGAAAGCTAAAGTCTGTAGCAGCGGAGAGTAGGCCCTGTTCATCTACCTCAAACCCTTTGGCTTCCACCTGTAGGGGCCCAGTAAGTGCAGATCTGCTCAGTAGGCCTGAGCCAAAGGCTTTACAGATGCTGAACCTGAAGTGCATCAAGAGAATAAACATCTGCCACGTGGCAGAGGAAAACATTTAAAGTAGCAATAATAAACACAATACCTATACACGAAGGAAAAATTTCATAAGAAATGAAATTTGGAGGAGTTAAGTAACAAAGGTCAAAAGGTCAGATGCAACCAGAGAACAGCTGCATTCTCCAAAGAATACTTTCCCTGCCTACTTTCCACCTGCAGAAAGCTAAGTATTTCTTGTCTCATACTTGTAAACATGGAGGACAAAGAAAGATACACACTGATTCCAACTGATTAATAAAGGGATAGGAATGCAAACAAAAAAGGTGTCAGAGTAGGCAAGGGTCTAGCTTTTAAAGGAAAAGTACTTCAAATGTGCTTCTGCAAAAAATATGACTTGGAGGCAATTTGGAGGTTTTGACACTTGAACTTTACTCATAGATTGTAGGCAGAGTTGTTTTCTATAAGAGTAACTAAATTAAGACAAAAGAACTGTGCAATTATGACATCACAAAACCTCACAGAAGAACTGGGAATCAAAGTTACCTTTGATTAAAGTTTCCCACTCACTTTTTGCAAAGTGCAAGCAAAAGCAAGGGCATTGGATGGATGGCACAGGCAGGGGCGGGAAAGCCCTTTCTCCAGTCTCCCACGTCACCCCTTCATGCACACCACGGACAGTTCATTAGCTGACCCTCTGCTCTCCTGGCCGTGGATTCTATTTGATTCCTCATAGTCAGGCTTTTATTCCCAATAGCTTAAAGTAATAAAAATGAAAGATGTGAGGAAATGAATTCATACGTAGAAATAAAAGAAACCTGGAACCTGACACATTTCATATTTTGGAAATAATGGTGAACATAATGCTGAGGGTGGTTGACAGTGAGATCATAGCATATGAGAGAGCCAACTACTCTGCCCGTGCTTCCAGAATGGCTGAAAGTTTACCTGGAGTCTTAACACTCCACATACCCTTCCTTAAGATCCTAACAGTCATAGGTTCTTACTGATACCTGAGATCAGAGTCAGGCTGAAAATGCTTAAATCTTAAAAGGGAGAAATGAGAGGAAAAAACCCAAATTGAGGGAAAAAAACCAGTTAATTAAGAACAGATTAAAACTATTAGGTAAGTATATGTTGATAGTCCAAGGGAAGGAAAGGAGGGAAGGGGGGAAAGGAAGAACAGGGTAGGGGGACTGGTCTTTGCTGTGGAGCTCCTCATGTACCCTTCTAACTGGGACACGCTCTTGCCGACGTGTGAATACTGTAAGCTACCTCTGAAGCAGACACGGCCCTTCTGAGGGGACCTGGTTCACGCCATCTGCACAAGGACATCTAAACTGCCACGATAACCAAGTGACAGACAAACCCGTGAGTGCAGCGTGCAACCGGTGATCTCTTTGTCCTCGTCCATGAGAAAGGATGCACGGACTGGAGATACAGCCAGGTCTGCTGGCTGAGCAGAAGAAATCTGTGGTAGAAAATACCCAAAACAACCCCTTACCCATTCTAAGGGGAAAAAGATATAAAACCCCTCTCAAAGCAAAACAAAACAAAAATAACATTTTCCCTCCTAAAGAAAACCACATTGGAAACAAGTGCCCTGCGAAAAGTCCATATGCGTGTTTTTACAAGGCTGGTAGAGGTTATTTTGTTTTGGATTCCACGTAAATTTTATCTCCATCTCTAATGCCAAAGGAATGTAATGCCCGGGAGCTGTACTTCATTTCTTCTGGGCCAAAGGGAGCTTCGTGGTCAAAGTAGTAGAGAAGCATGCTGCTTGTGGGTAACTGCACTAGACTTTTCAATTGTTTCTTTAGTTCAGCAACTGTTTGGTCCAGACGAATGCTCATTTCCTCCACGTGATCGTTAAAGTGCACCTCCACTTTTGCACTGCTCTGGGGTCGTAGGTCCACTTCTGCCAGAGGCTCCAACTTCCCATATTTTGTGATCAGTTCATGATATCTAGAACAATAAAAACAATAACATCAGCAGCTTCCATTAACACTGCATGGAACTACGGACTTCTTCCATACTATATTGCTGCTTCAAACACCAATACTATTTCATTCAAGTAGTATCTGTACATGTGTGCACAAATGTATGCACTATGAACCAACAGTTCAAGCAGTTACTGGATGACCTGTGGCTCCTGTGACCAGATACACAGCTCTGTGGAATCCACAGGGAAAGCACATTCTTGCAGAGAGAAGAGGCACTTTTTTTCCTGAAGATGGTCACCATGCATGAATGATGTAAGAGTAGGCTTCAGAGGATAGGCCTTGTGGTACAAACCTGTAATTCCAGTACTCAGGAGGCTAAGGCAAGTTCAAGGCCAGCCTGGGCTACAAAGTGGGAAAAAATAAGGGAGCCTTAGAAAGAAAATCAAATTTAGAAAAGCAGGTACTACAAAAATAAGAGAGAAAGGCGAGATCTCCACGAAGAGCTTGCTTTCCTGGGGGTCGGCATCAGGAGAGTCGGCTCTCTAGGCACATACCTTGGTTATAAATGGGAAGATGGAAGTAGGTTCGGAGGCCTGAAGAAGCCATAGCTTTTAGACACAAACACATATGTTAGCCATTGAACCAACTCTTTCCATGAAGCCTTGTTTGAAGGTACCAGTCTAGTGTCAACTGTAATAAAAGCAATTTATGTGAAAGGCAAGGATACAGTTGTGATAAATAAGGAATGTTCTTTCATCAAAACAGAAATAAAAATCAAGCCAAGAGGAAAATTCAAAAGTGAGAATAGGGTCCACAAAGTGAAGTTTCTTCTGTGGAAACTCCAGCCCGCTGCCAGCCGGGAGGAGCTGGGCATGGATTTATTGGACGGGGCAGGTAACTTTCTATACACTAGAGGGGAAAACACTGAGATGACATATGATAGCTAAGACACATGGAGGCAAATTAAAGATTAGAATTATCATACTTACATAAGATTATTCTTCAACCTCTCCCACTCCACTTGGAGCTTTTGCTCAGTAAAATCATAAGGTGTCATAATAAGGTTGGTAGGAACATTAATGACATAGTAAGACATCTGTGCTTAGAGATGGAGTAACAGAGAATGGTAAAAATAGTCCTGCCTCTGCCTTTGGAGTCTGACCCCATCTTGTAATTAGCTGTGTAACTTGGCAACTCACTCCACTCTTGTATCTCAGTTTCCTCATTAGTCAAGTCAGGGTGATAATGCCTGCACTAAGGTAGGACCTTAGAGGACAGTCATAAGAATTAGACAACTGATGTTACTATGCAAATAAAAGTACTGACGTCATAGCTTACATTATTAAAATACCCCTTAGAAACCCGAAGACAGCTGGCCCCTACTTAGGGGAGATTTCTTAGAAAAAAGGTTCATAGGATCACACAGACTACAGAATACTGTCCCATAACTTAAGCCAAAATCTGATCGTTCTTTGGTTGGTGGTTGATTAATCATGAGGTAGCCCTGTTTGAATAAATCCTTTAGCCTCAGCCTCCTGCCTGCTGGCATTATAGGCCTAGGCCACCATGCCCAGACAAAAACAGCATAAAAAAGGACTAAAAATAATCACTGCGAGCAACAGAAGAAGTAATAGTTTATCAACATAACCTTTTAAAGGACCCAAAAGTTCTATACTAAGTCTAAGAGCATCTTTTCCCCACTCCATCTCCTATCATACTCAAATAATAAACAATCGAGTATAAAACGAACACAATCTTAATTCCAGAGACAGAGGTCAACAGGATAACCACTCCGGTCTCAGACAGAAGTAGCCATGGCTAGAATAAGGGGAGGCAACTCATGCAGTGTGCCTGCACAGAGGCAGGTGAAGGGAAAGTGTACACTCTGAAGCATAAACGGGGTATAAAGCAGCAAGTACACTAACAGCACAGCAGAACGAATGAAGAAAAGGAATACCGTAAACATGTAGGTGAGAACTAGAGGGAGAACTCACTCTGACAGCAAACCCGACTGAAGAAAATGCCCTACAAATACTAAGGTCTCGAAATTCATAGATGGATGATAACCAAAACCAAGATACAAACACAACGGCTAGACAATAGTATAGGGTGAAAAGGGACCATACTGAATTAAGAAACAAACTTGAGGACCAAAACATCGTTACTGACCAAGTAAACTGGAATGACCAAGGACATTATACTTAACCCAGTTTCATTCAGTAATAAGTCTAACAAGTAGATATTTTCACACAATGAAGGACTTGGGCAACAGCAACAGCGTACCTATGAGGAATGAGAAGGGAGGAACTAAAACCAATTATTCAATAATGAGATTAAAGAACTAGAAGTAAGCCTTGAATCTATTTAAATACAAAGCTAAAATTCACAATAGCGATACTACTTCTAGACTTGTTTATATACAACACTATAGCCTACTGAATTAATTTCAACAATGTATTTGTTGACATAATAATGGCCTACTTGCTATTAATGGGCGAATGTATTTACAAATTAAATGACTTGGGATACTACAAAGTCCTAAAATTTTCTTAAAATTAACTTGTCCAAAAATAATTGATTGTCATTCAAACATCTTTTTCTCTAGTCTTTCATTAACTCAGTAGACAGTACTAAAAGCTATCCAATTATCCTGACCAGAAACTACATGGTGATTTGATTTCTCTTTTCCTATTGCTCCTCTCCACTTTTCTCATTCAATCCATTAACACATCTTACTAACTGTCCTCCTAAATACCTTATTAATCTACTTACATCCCTCATGCCTATATGTCTTGCAAACTCAAATATTTGTGATCACTATTATTAACTCATGTTGCTACCTTCTCTTTAGATGCATAAACTAGACAAGCTCCCACAGAATCTTTCTAACCTCTTCCTGGTAGATGCCCTCTTGGAGATGAAATTTACCTTTCACCAACCACAGTCTGCCCTCAGTTTCAACAGAGATGATAGAACAAACAGATATGGTATGGAGCAGTTTGGGCATTATCTTCTTCCATACCAGACTGAAGGACGTGGAATGTGTTCCTGGAGTGGGCAGCCTGCCAGCGTCTGGTTAATTCCTGGATGACAACTAAGGCAGTGTGATCAGCACCAAGGACAGCAGCCTGTTCTTTTTCCTTGGGATTTGGCTTGTTCTATGGTTTTATTATAAAGGCAAGCAGGGGAGGTAGCCTAAGCTTGTTCTTCCAACCCTCCCAAAGATTTTTGTAAGGACATTGTTGACTGCATGTAGTCCTTTCTTCTTGAAACTTCTTGTGACATTCCATGTCTTCTGGGTAACCATGAATAGTTGACTATTTTATTGTCAAAGTAATCATTACAAAACACACATTTGATCTCCCCACTATCCTCCATATTAAAAGTAAAGTACCAATTCTTTTCTTTTTTTGGGGGGGGTCTGGATGTGGGGCCTGAACTCTGGGCCTGGGCTCTGTCCCTCAGCTCTTCAGCTCAAGGCTAGCACTCTACCATTTGAGCCACAGCACCACTTCCGGCTTCTTTTTGCTTATGTAGGGCTGAGGAATCAAACCCAGGGCCTCAAGTATGCAAGGCAAGCGCTCTACCACTGAGCCACCTTCCCAGCCCCCAATTCTTTAATGTAGTTGGGGAAGACAGATCTTTGGGTGAGACTAAATTTAAAAATAAAAATGTCTCTCGACAATACCAAAAGAGAAAAACATTTTGTAAAGATTCTGTAACCAGCAGCACGAGAAGGGCTTGACACACCAGTGCTGGCTTGAAGATGGTGAGGCCCCACGGAAAGTGTGGTGAGGGCGACATCCCCACCATCCTGAACGTGCCTGCAAAGGGATCTGCTGCAGGGCCTCCGCCCAGTAAGGAGAGCAGCCCTGCCAACACCTTCACGTCACCTTGGGAAACTCTAAGCGGAGCACTCACCTGAGCCAGACAACACCCAGGTTTCTGACCCACAGAGTAAGTGGGCACTGTAGTAAGCCACTAACTTGAAAGTCATTTATTATAGCATCAACAAAGAAAAAGACCCTTTGTGATCTGCTTCCTTGATAACTTTCCAGCCTTATTTTGTACCATCACCATTGCCATTTTCAATACCTTCTAAGAAATCCTAGAGACTATTATATAATATATATAAAAATATATAATATATATATATAATATATATAAAAAGTTCATTAACTCAAAGTCTCATGGCTAGTGAAAGGATAGAAATTAGAATTCAAGTCTTAATTCTCACCATTTCATTACAATAAGGAATATTATCCTAGAAGTTCTCGTCTTCTTCTACATTCCAAATGCCCACTGTCAAGTGTAAGGTCCTGATTTCAAATCCCATCAGTCCCCAAACCAAATGCTTCCTTTAAGTCTTATTCTTTTTTTATTTTAAATGAGACAAGGTCTTACTATATGGCACAGACTGGCCAGTCTGGGAACTGCCTGGAGGAAACTACAAAATCATCAGGAAGAGATAACAATACTGTTTTTAGATTAAAAACAAATGTATACATAGAAGATAAGTAAAATAAAAATGGATAGATTTTTTTGGGGGTCCGGTCGTGGGGCCTGAACTCTGGGCCTGGGTGCTGTCCCTCAGCTCTTCAGCTCAAGGCTAGTGCTCTACCACTTGAGCCACAGCGCCACTTGCGGCTTTTTTCTTTTTGCTTATGTGGTGCTGAGGAATCGAACCCAGGACCTCAGGCATGCAAGGCAAGCGCTCTACCACTGAGCCAACTTCCCAGCCCCAAAAATGGATAGATTAAAAAGCTAGACAAATCCTCAACTGTGGGAGACATCCATAGTCTTCCTTCAAGGATGGAAAATATTATTTATGCCTGAAAAGTACTAGCAACCTGACCTAACACAATTGACATTAAACACACCACCTGATATCAGAACTTTCTTTTTCTGTTTCATAAGTGAAATTCACTAAGACAGACCATAGTCCAAGCCAAAAACATTCCTCAAACATACCAAAACAGGTTTAAAAGAACTGAAGTAATATAGCTTAGATTCTTTCACCCT